TATATTTCCTGGTTATTTAAAATAGTACTTGACGTCCCGTTGGTATTTAATCCTCTTAGATTCTGCAATGATTTGTTCCAGTTTTGTAACATTCACTTTATTATTCAGTTGATCAGATTGGAAATTGTTCAGAACCTGTTCTGTTTGTTTCCATGGCGATTTTCTATTCCTTCAACTATTAATATGAAACTATTAAACCTATTGTTTTAAAACCAAACTCCATGCAAGCAGTACAGATGAAATACATACACCGTATGGGAGCAAATACAGAATAAACAATACTACTTTGTATCTATCTCCCACCTGATCAATGTTTATAAACAATGTTACTTTGTATCTATCTCCTGTCTGATCGATGTTTATAAACAATGTTACTTTGTATCTCTCTATCTCCCGTCTGATCGATGTTTATAAACAATATTACTTTGTATCTCTCTATCTCCCGCCTAATCAATGTTTATAAACAATGTTACTTTGTATCTCTCTATCTCCCGTCTGATTGATGTTTATAAACAATGTTACTTTGTATCTCTATCTCCCGTCTGATCGATGTTTATAAAACAATGTTACTTTGTATCTCTCCATCTCCCGTCTGATTGATGTTTATAAACAATGTTACTTTGTATCTCTATCTCCCGTCTGATCGATGTTTATAAACAATGTTACTTTGTATCTCTATCTCCTGTCTGATCGATGTTTATAAACAATGTTACTTTGTATCTCTCTATCTCCCACCTGATCGATGTTTATAAACAATGTTACTTTGTATCTCTCTATCTCCCGTCTGATCGATGTTTATAAACAATGTTACTCTGTATCTCTACATCTCCCGTCCGATCGATGTTTATAAACAATGTTACTCTGTATCTCTACATCTCCCGTCCGATCGATGTTTATAAACAATGTTACTCTGTATCTCTACATCTCCCGTCCGATCGATGTTTATAAACAATGTTACTCTGTATCTCTCCATCTCCCGTCTGATCGATGTTTATAAACAACATTACTTTGTATCTTTCTATCTACTATCTGGACAATGTTTATAAACAACATTACTTTGTATCTTTCTATCTACTATCTGGACAATGTTTATAAACAACATTACTTTGTATCTTTCTATCTACTACCTGGACAATGTTTATAAACATTACTTTGTATCTTTCTATCTACTATCTGGACAATTTTTATAAACAACATTACTTTGTATCTTTCTATCTACTATCTGGACAATGTTTATAAACAACATTACTTTGTATCTTTCTATCTACTATCTGGACAATGTTTATAAAACAACATTACTTTGTATCTTTCTATCTACTATCTGGACAATGTTTATAAAACATTACTTTGTATCTTTCTATCTATTATCTGGACAATGTTTATAAACAACATTACTTTGTATCTTTATATCTACTATCTGCACAATGTTTATAAACAACATTACTTTGTATCTTTATATCTACTATCTGGACAATGTTTATAAACAATATTACTTTGTATCTTTCTATCTACTATCTGGACAATGTTTATAAACAATATTACTTTGTATCTTTCTATCTACTATCTGGACAATGATTATAAACATTACTTTGTATCTTTCTATCTACTATCTGGACAATGTTTATAAACATTACTTTGTATCTTTCTATCTACTATCTGGACAATGTTTATAAACATTACTTTGTATCTTTATATCTACTATCTGGACAATGATTATAAAACAACATTACTTTGTATCTTTATATCTACTATCTGGACAATGTTTTTAAACAACATTACTTTGTATCTTTATATCTACTATCTGGACAATGTTTATAAACAACATTACTTTGTATCTTTCTATCTACTATCTGGACAATGTTTATAAACAATATTACTTTGTATCTTTCTATCTACTATCTGGACAATGTTTATAAACAACATTACTTTGTATCTTTCTATCTACTATCTGGACAATGTTTATAAACAACATTACTTTGTATCTTTCTACTATCTGGACAATGTTTATAAAAAATAATTACTTTGTATCTTTCTGTCTACTATCTGAACAATGTTTATAAACAGTGTTACTCTGTATCTCTCTCCTGTCTTAACAGTGTTTATAAACACTTTGTCATATGGTCTGTTTTTGACAGGAGCAGCTTCCACAGAGTATTTACACTGCTGACTTTTAAACGTCAGACCATTGGGAAGGGGGGAGTGGCAGCACAATCGGGAGACAGTAAAAGAAGAAGAAAGAGAAAGAAGTAAGAAAGATCAAAGGAAAATAGAAAAAAGGGAAGAGACCAAAAAAGAAAAGAAGGGATGAAGAAGGAAAGGAAAGAAGGAAGGAGAGGCGGTGGCAGCGATAGGAGGGAGAAAGAACACAAGAAGAGTGAATCTGGATGAAGAAAGATTAAGATTGAAGGCAAGAAGAGGGATAGAAAAAAGGGGGAGGGAGGAGGAGAGGGGGAGAGGGGGAGGGGGAGGGGGAAATGGGGGAGAAAGGACGAGAAAAAGGCCTAAAGGAGAGAGGGGGGAGATGAAGAAGGAAAGGAAGAAGAAAAGAAGGGAGGGGAAGAGAAAAGAAGAAAGAGAATGAGGAAAAGAAGGGGAAGGAAGGGAAGTAAAGAGAAAGAAGAAAGAGAGAAGAGAAGGCAAGTATCTCGGGAAAAAAAAAGGAGAAGGAAAAAAAGAAAGGAAGAAGGAAGAAGAAGAGAAGTAGAGAGAAAAGGGGAGAAATGACGGAAGAAAGAAAGAAGACGAAGAAGAAACAGAGGAAGGAGGGAGCGGAAGAAAAACAGGAAAAAAGGAAAGAAGAGGAGACTTAGAGAGAGGAAATAGGGAAAAGAAGAGAAGAAAAGAGAAGAGGAGGAAATAGAAGAATTTAAAAGGAAGGAAAAGTAGAGGGTCGGAAGAAGAAAGAAAGGAAGAAGTTGACATGAAGAAGTCGAACGGCGATAGGCGCACAGAGGAAATCGTCTTTCATAGGAAGAAGAGAAGAGTGGGGAGTCCTCGGGGAAAACAATAGAAAAATAACATTTCTAGAGTGATTCTGTCGTTGCCATGACGATAATAGAAAAGCACCAGCAGAACATTATCATTTTGTACCAAAAGGTCCACTAAGTGCCTTTCCGTCTAACAGAATAAGAAAAAAAATAAAAAAGCTGGTGGAGAAAAACTGGACCAGAGAGAAAAAACCAGCCTAAATTGAACATGTCAACCGGAAAAACATCAAGCTCGTGTACTTTCATGAAGATTACCTACTTGGGCCACATAATTTCTATATATTTAAAGTTGTCTTTCATAGGATGGATGTTCTCTAACATTCTCTAATACCCCAAGAACATTATATACTAAAAGAAAATAGCCTGAGAACATTCAACCAGAAGAGAAAACAGCCTAACAACATTCAACCGAAAAACTGAACCCTTAAATAATAGTCTAATAACATTTGACCAAAAATATATTCTAATACAATAGCCTGAGAAGATTCGACCAGAAGAGAAAACAGCCTAACAACATTCAACCGAAAAACTGCACCCTAAAATAGTAGCCTAAGAACATCCAACCAAAAACAGCCTAAAACAATAGTCTAATACCATTTGGCCAAAAAAAAAGTAAAACAATAGCCAAAGAGCATTTAACTAGAACAGGGGGTCTCCAAACTTTTGAAACAAAGGGCCAGTTTACTGCCTTTCAGTCTTTACGGGGGGCGGACTGTGGTCAGTGGGAGTAGAAAATGCCATGAGCTAGGTTTACTAAATTGGAGTAAAATACATAATTAGTGTCAGCGGGAGGAATGGTATGCAATAATTGGTGTCAATGTGAGGAATGGTGTCCCATCATTGGTATCAGTGGGAGGAATAGTGCCCCATCATTGGTGTCAGTGGGAGGAATAGTGCCCCATCATTGGTATCAGTGGGAGGAATAGTGCCCCATCATTGGTATCAGTGGGAAGAATAGTGCCCCATCGCTGGTGTCAGTGGGAGGAATAGTGCCCCATCATTGGTATCAGTGGGAAGAATAGTGCCCCATCGCTGGTGTCAGTGGGAGGAATAGTGCCCCATCATTGGTATCAGTGGAGGAATAGTGTCCCATCATTGGTGTCAGTGGGAGGAATAGTGCCCTATTATTGGTATCAGTGGGGGGAATAGTGCCCTATTATTGGTATCAGTGGGAGGAATAGTGTCCCATCATTGGTATCAGTGGAGGAATAGTGCCCCATCATTGGTGTCAGTGGGAGGAATAGTGCCCCATCATTGGTATCAGTGAGAGAGGAATAGTGCCCCATCATTGGTGTCAGTGGGGGGAATAGTGCCCCATCATTGGTATCAGTGGGAGGAATAGTGCCCCATCATTGGTATCAGTGGGGGAGGAATAGTGTCCCATCATTGGTGTCAGTGGGAGGAATAGTACCCCATCATTGGTGTCAGTGGGTGGAATAGTGCCCCATCATTGGTGTCAGTGGGAGGAATAGTGCCCCATCATTGGTGTCAGTGGGAGGAATAGTACCCAATCACTGGTGTCAGTGGGAGGAATAGTGCCCCATCATTGGTGTCAGTGGGAGGAATAGTACCCAATCACTGGTGTCAGTGGGAGGAATAGTGCTCTGTCTTTGGTGTTAGTGGAAGAGATAGTGCCTCAAGGGCCAGATAAAGGCAAGCAAAGGGCCACATCCGGCCCGCAGGCCACAGTATGGAGACCCCTGAACTAGAAGATAAAATAGCCTACAACAATTGCTCAAAAACAAAGAGAAAAAAAGGACATTCAGTTCTGACCCACCAACATCCACCACTTTATACACTGAGAAAAAAAAAACATAAACTAAAAAAAAGTCGTTCTGAAATGTTACTCCATGATAAAGACAGAGGACATCATTCTGACGTTTGGCTCTGTTGGCATTGATGATGAAAAGATCTGCTTTGCTGGAGATCCAGCAGATTCAGTCCTTTGATCCATTCCATAGGGTGGCTTGTTTATTTTTCGATTGATCGATGGTCTTTTCTCTCTGTGTTGCAGGACTACACCATCACCATGTATTTCCAGCAGAGTTGGCGAGATAAGCGTTTGGCCTATTCTGCCCTCCCCCTGAATCTCACACTGGATAACAGAGTGGCCGACCAGCTTTGGCTCCCAGATACATATTTCCTGAATGACAAGAAATCATTTCTACACGGAGTCACGGTCAAGAATCGAATGATAAGGTTGCACCCCGATGGTACAGTACTGTACGGGTTAAGGTGAGTCATTGGCCATTTCAGGAGTTCGTTCTGTTCATTGGTTTATGACAGTGGTGGGCAACCTTTTTTTTCAACTGAGCCAAATCTCGCCAAAACCACGATTGAAATTTATTTTGAGAGCCACATTTTTTAAAACTGAAAATACATCCCCCATATAGTAATTCATCCCCCATATAGTAATTCATCCCTCATAGTAATTCATCCCCCATATAGTAATTCATCCCCCATAGTAATTCATCCCCCATATAGTAATTCATCCCCCATATAGTAATTCATCCCCCATAGTAATTCATCCCCCATAGTAATTCATCCCCCATATAGTAATTCATCCCCCATATAGTAATTCATCCCCCATAGTAATTCATCCCCCATAGTAATTCATCCCCCCTATAGTAATTCATCCCCCATATAGTAATTCATCCCCCATAGTAATTCATCCCCCATAGTAATTCATCCCCCCTATAGTAATTCATCCCCCATATAGTAATTCATCCCCCATAGTAATTCATCCCCCCATATAGTAATTCATCCCCCATAGTAATTCATCCCCCATAGTAATTCATCCCCCATATAGTAATTCATCCCCCATAGTAATTCATCCCCCATATAGTAATTCATCCCCCATAGTAATTCATCCCCCCATATAGTAATTCATCCCCCATAGTAATACATCCCCCATAGTAATTCATCCCCCATATAGTAATTCATCCCCCATATAGTAATTCATCCCCCATAGTAATTCATCCCCCATATAGTAATTCATCCCCCATATAGTAATTCATCCCCCATATAGTAATTCAACCCCATATAGTAATTCATCCCCCATATAGTAATTCATCCCCCATATAGTAATTCATCCCCCATATAGTAATTCATCCCCCATATAGTAATTCATCCCCCATATAGTAATTCATCCCCCCATATAGTAATTCATCCCCCATATAGTAATTCATCCCCCATATAGTAATTCATCCCCCCATATAGTAATTCATCCCCCATATTGTGTCAATTTACTTACCTTTGCTCCGCGCGTTCCTCTCGCCGTGTTCCCGCGCCGTTCCGGTCTTCAGGGTGGACTGTGAGAGGAGAGGAGTTCGTCACGCTGCCCCGCCTACATCCTGACAGCCAATGTGCCGGGCGCCCGAGAGGAGGGAGGGGAGCGGGCGCCCGGCACACAGAAGAGCCGCATTAAATTGTGTAAAGAGAGCTGCATGTGGCTCGCGAGCCGCGGCTTGCCGACCACTGGGTTATGACAACCCGTCCATTACATACGAGTCCGACAACTCAGATTGTTATCTCTAGTTATGAAAATCTACTGATTGGACTTCACAATGCATATGGCGCACGTTGCCTATGTGAGGAGCTATAATAATAATAATCTGTATGTTTTATACATCCCTAACACCCATACACAGGGCTGCCATCACAAATGATGGGACCCCCCCATACAGACCACCCATCTCACCTCCATCCACCTTCTGGGACCATCTAAGAGGTCTTAACAACGACTGCTCCTAGATATTGTTCCACCAAGGCATGGGGTCCCCAAGATTTCCAGTACAAGGGCCTCATTGTATATTTGACAAATATTCATGGGCTGAAAAACTAAAATCCACATCACAGTTCCCCTTATATCAGGGTCCCAATCAGAGTCCCCATCAGAATCCCCCCTTACATCAGGGTCTTCATCAGAGCCTACCACCATACATCAGGGTTACCATCAAAGTCCCCCTTTACATCAGTTGTCCCCCTTACATCAGTTATCCCCCTTACATCAGTGCCCCTATCACAGTCCCTCTTACATCAGGGTCCACATAAGAGTTCCCCTTACATCATTGTCCCAATCAGAGTCCCCATCAGAATCCCCCCTTACATCAGGGTCTTCATCAGAGCCTACCACTTACATCAAGGTTCCCATCAAAGTAGCCCTTTACATCAGTTGTCCCCTTTACATCAGAAACCCCCCTTACATCAGGGTCTTCATCAGAGCCTACCACTTACATCAGGGTTCCCATCAAAGTCCCCCTTTACATCAGTTGTCCCCCTTACATCAGTGCCCCTATCACAATCCCTCTTACATCAGGGTCCTCATAAGAGTTCCCCTTACATCAGGGTCCCAATCAGACTCCCCATAAGAATCCCACCTTACATCTGGGTCCCCATCAAAGTCCCCCTTTACATCAATTATCCCCCTTACCAGGGGCGGACTGGCAACTCATGGGGCCCCCGGGCAATAGGGGATCATGGGGCCCCTGTGTCCTTGCTCAAACTCAAAAAAGCCTATGAAAAAGGTACCAGGGGCATCTCATGGGGCCCCCTACCGACCCCGGGCCCTCGGGCAGTGCCCGAGTTTCCAAATGGTCAGTCCGCCCCTGCCCCTTACATCAGTGGCCCTATCACAGTCCCTCTTACAGCAGGGTCCACATAAGATTTCCCCTTACATCAGGGTCCCAATCAGACTCCCCATAAGAATCCCCCCTTACATCTGGGTCCCCATCAAATTCCCCGTTTACATTAGTCCTCCCCCCTTACATCAGTGCCCCCATCTCAGTCCCTCCTACATCAGGGTCCCCATCAGAGTCCCCCCTTATATCCATTTCCCCCCTACATCAGTATCCCTATCAAAGTCTCTCCTTACATCAGGGTCCCCTTCAAAGTCCACCCTTACATCTGTTTCCCCACCTATATCAGTGTCCCTATCAAAGGCCCTCCTTACATCAGAGTCCCCATCAGAATCTCCCCTCACATCAGGGTCTCCATCAGAGCCCCTCCCTTACATAAGGGACCCCATCAAAGTCCCTCTTTACATCAGTTATCCCTCTTACATCAGTGCCTCCATCTCAGTCCCTCCTTACATCAGGGTCCCCATCAGAGTTCACCCCTACATTAAGGTCCCCTTCAAAGTCCACCCTTACATCTGTTTCCCCACCTATATCAGTGTCCCTATTAAAGTCCTTCCTTATATCAGAGTCCCCATCAGAAGCCCCCATCACCTCAGGGTCTCCATCAGAGCCCCCCTTACATCAGGGGCCCCATCAAAGTCCCACTTTATATCAGTTATCCCCTTTACATTAGTGCCCCCATCAACGTCCCTCCTTACCTCAGGGTTCCCATCAGAGTCCCCCATTACATCAAGGTCCCCATAAGAGTTCCCTCCTTACATCTGCTTCCCCCCCCCCCACATCCCTACTTACATCAAGGTCCCCCATCAGAGCCCCCCCTTTACATCACTTATTCCCCTTACATTAGTGTCCCCATCAGAATCCTCCCTTACATCAGTGTCCCTATCAAAGTCACTTCTTACAGCAGGGTCCCTATCAGAGTCCTCCCTTACATCCAGGTCCCCATCAGAGTCCCCCCTTACATCCGTCCCCTCCCCTACATCAGGGTCCCCATCAAAGTCCCCCTTTACATCGGTTATCTCCCATACATCAGTGTCCCCATCACAGTCCCACCTTACATTACGGTCCCCATCAGAGTACCCCCTTACATCTGTTCCCCACCCCACATCAGAGTCCCTATCAAAGTGCCTCCATACATCAGGGTCCCCATCAGAGTCCACCCTTACATCAAGGTCCCCGTCAGAGCCCCACTTTACATCAGTTACCCCCTTTTTATCAGTGTCCCCATCTGTGTCCCTCCTTACATCAGGGTCCCCATCAGAGCCCCCCTCACATCAGTTACCTCCCCTTACATCAGTGTCCTAACAGAGTCTCCCCTTTCATTAGGGTCCCCATTAGAGGAGAAGACCATAGGCAGTCTCTGCCTCAGTTGGCGCACATTGAGGATACACCACCGACCCTAGCTGTGGTCCAGATAAAATCTTGTGGTGGGCCAGATGGGGTCCAGGGGCCATAGTTTGGAACAAGGCACAAGAAGCTCAGTGACTACCTATGAAGGCTTAAAAGGCTGAACATGACTTTTGATAACCAGGGGCAGACTGACAACTCATGGGGCCCCCGGGCAATAGGGGATCATGGGGCCCCTGTGTCCTCACCCACACCCAAAAAAGCCTATGAAAAAGCCAATGAAAAGGTACCAGGGGCATCTCATGGGGCCCCCTACTGACCCTGGGCCCTCGGGCACTGCCCGAGTGCTCGAATGGTCAGTCCGCCCCTGTTGATAACTGAGGCCCAGAACTACATGCAGATCTGATTGGAAGTAAAGTGTGTGTATCACGCTTGTAACGATATTTCACTAGGAGACTATCCTGGAATGGGAACCACTGGAGTCCATCAGGATGGGGAAGGAAAATGCAGGCCGGGCAAGGGCTCCCTGAGGGTCAAGAACAGAAGGGCTGCCTATACCCCGTCTATTGGTGGCCTCTATTGGTGGCCATGTCCACACCTACACGGAATATTGATAACAATGTCATTGCCCCATGCGTAGGCAACAAACCTTCCATTTGACGATTTACCTATGAGCTCTACTCATAGCTGAAGCTCTACTGTTTCAGAAGTTCTTCAGAACATATTGAAGTTTAAAAAACAAGGCCTAGCTAGGAAGGTCAGGACACCTTTTTTGGAAAAAAAATTGCACACTGCCATAATGCTCTGCCAACCTCAAAAAAGGCCAAATGTTGCTTACTGTGAAGTCACCACCAGGGGCGGACTGACCATTTGGAAACTCGGGCACTGCCAGAGGGCCCGGGGTCAGTAGGGGGTCCCATGAGATGCCCCTGGTACCCTTTTCATAGGCTTTTTTGAGTTTGGGCAAGGACACAGGGGCCCCATGATCCCCTATTGCCTGGGGGCCCCATGAGTTGTCAGTCCGCCCCTGGTCACCACTGACCCAAACTACTATGGTTTGCATCAGGTAAGATTTATCAGCCAAAAATACAGCGATCTACTGCAGAAACTCAGAGCTTTTTTTCACAAGGAACGCAGCGGCCCACATGGAAGAAAAATATATTTGAAATACTACAACTTTGGCCATATTCAATGTATTTAAAAATAAATAAATATATAAAAAAATAAATATATATATATATATTTCAAAAT